TGATTGTTGATATATGATTGGTCGAATTTAGGTGTTCAGGCTGACGTATAACTAACTGGCCTGCATACGATAACGGAAAAAAAAACCAAAAAAAAAAACAACACAGATTTTAAGATAGCATTTTTTTAATAAATAGAAATTTTCTAAATTTTGGGACAATATCATCGGATAAAGACTACATTTTTATAGATGTTTAAGCCAGAATGATTTGACATTTAAATATGACTTCCCTAAGATTTTAGTCACTATGTGGATGAAATGGAAAGAGAGTTTAGTCGGTTAGCGATGCTACTTCAGTCCAGCATCCAATGATACTCATGTTTAACACAGCAGTGATGTGCTGATTGGTTTATGGACTAAATAATGGGGGCACTGGGCTGCAGCAGCAAATTAATAATTCATACCGCTGTTGGATGTGACACTGGAAACTGCATCCACATCGTCTTTATTGGGACAGATCGTCTTGCAGCGGTCGTGGATTCGTTCCCTCTAAAAACAGCAAACAAAGAAAACAGAAAAGGTTATTTATGAGCTCCGATGAGCTAAAGCTGTCTGTCGAATGAGATGGGAAAGGAAAATGTATAAACATCAGCAGCTGTAAAGACTGAAAGTCGACTTTTCCTTGTGAAACCTGAGGGAGGAAATAAAACAGCGCTACGAGGTTGGCACAGGGTCATGTGATTCTCTTTTGAACTGCAGGAATTACAGAAACAGAATGTGCAAAAAGAAAAGTAAAAATGAAATTAGAAAATGCCTAACTAAATAGTATCTGTTCCTTTTTATATATAAAAAAAAGGTCAAAACTGTTTCCTTATACGCTACATGAAACTTACTTCAAACACCTAAAAACCTGCTGAATTAGCCAGAAGAAGAAAGCAAGATCCTTTTTAGGTTTCATACTAAACTTTATCTGGATGTATGAAGTAAATCTGCTGCTAAAAGACCAGGATTTATTCTCATATCATGAGGCTCTAACTTTAAATAAACCGTTTCTGGAAGGGCCAGCTCACACCATGAATGGGTGGAACAGGTTTGTCAGCATGTTGATTCCTGCTGCTGAAATCCTTTCACAAAGATATAGAACAAGGAAAGAGGAACTCCTTTATATTATACATTACCGAAAAACAGTTAATCAGTCGTATTAGTCTGATACTGCAGCCAAAGTAGTGAAAGTGAATGTTTAAATGTTTAACAACCACCTCTTTGATTTGAAAGCTGATGCTAATTTACAGGCTGGTGCTAACATGCATCCTGCTGACTCAGTTAAAACTTAAAACCAATGAAGCACAACCATCTGAAACAGCTTGACTGAACAGTTTCCTTCGTGGGGTGGAAGAACTGAGGGTTCTGTGGCATCTCGTATATAAAATGCTTCAACTACAAAACCCCTCCGATTCTTCACAAACTTTCTACAAACTCTTAATTGTGCAGCTAAAGAGACAGAGAGTAAATACTGTTGGAATGTAGAATAAAAAGTTAATTATCCTGTTTTGTAAAAATGAAATGAGTCATAGGTTCAAACATGGATTTAAGCCTTGTGTAGATGTCTTATGAACCGATAAAAAGTCAAAAACGTGACTCATGGAGTCAGCCGCACCA